TGGTGTGAATTAACAAAAATATTTGTCATTAAAATCACTTCTAACATACATATACAATTTGCATTGTTTCTATTTCTCAGTTATGTCTAAATTGTTTTTGTAATTTGAATCTGCAAAAATTAGTTATTTTAAAATGCTGCATTTATGTGCATTTGCAGTCTGTACTATTGGAATTAACACTAAAATATATGTAAAATCATAAATGTGGTTAAAGAATTTTCGGTACTTTCTGTTTTTCTACCAAAAGTTGGAAACTTGTTGAAAATTTTCTAGAATATTTGTAAATTCATTTTCAACATATTAAATACACAAAAGAAAACAGTCATTTTTAAAAGTACAATGCACTAAGAATTCCATACAAGAGCAATCAAACAATATAACTGAAAACGTTAGAAACATTGGTAATAAAACACTTACCTTTTTTGAGATTTTTTTCTTCCATTTTAGTTATCCCTATGTGCAGAGTAATCTGTTTTGATTTAAAAACTTGCACAGAATGCAGACTTGCACATAGCAATGCATATTTGCATTGTAAAACAATGACATGATGCTCCAGTCAGTATAAACATGTGGTATGTGCATACTTGGCTTGCCACACAAATACCTTTTAGCAACATCATGGGTTGCTGCGTAACTATTTTAGTGACAAACTACTTTGCCTCATGAATACTGTTCAGTGCAGGTGTTGATAGTAAGAAAGTATGCAATTTTGTGATACTAATTCTGTTATTGTAGGTATGTCTACTTGATAGTACCTCATTTGTGAATGAACACTGTCTCATATAGAGGCAGAAAATATTATTAATCTTTGTCTGAAGACAAACTAAAGTGGATGTGTTAGATTATTTGATTATAGCAAAGTGCTAGGACTGTCTGCCTTCAGGGAAGGGGTACCTTGGTGGAGGAATTTTTAAGGAACACTGGTTCATATTCATGTTACAAATATTTCCCTATTTGTAACATGAATATGAACCATGAAATTCCCATGCATCCAACCTGTTGGCCAGGATTTGAATTCATATCAAACTACCAGTATTCTGTGATCATACTCCTCAGCCAACGTTGGCCCAAATCAAGATATATAGGTGTGTAGTGGTTGCTACATCACAACGTTATTTTTTTCTGTTTAAGAATAAAAGAAAAAATTACTATTCACTTTTTAAAAACGTTCTTTTTAAAACAGTATCATCCTACAAATATTTCTACTGTTGCCACTCACAGTCTACATAAAGTTGTACAAAAATATTTTACAGTACAAAGACCGTAATCCGGACTCGTCGGGATTTCGCAGTTTCGGATTGGAGATTTTTCTGGATTATAGATCATCAGTTTAAATCTCGTAAGATGGCATGCAGAAATTATACAATTAAAAATATGAAACCATAATTTATGAAGTAAAGAGCAATTATGATCTAAAGGGTGTCAAATTTTACAAAAAAAAAGCTTAATATTTATTTGTTTACTTTATTAAACATTTCTTTCAATGTGCACATGCGTAAAGCATACAAAAAAAAAAAAGTTTGTGGCCTTTGAGGTCGATATAGATCGTTCCAGATAATGGACGTCCGGATTACAGACTTTGTACTATATATGATTTGTAAAGGTTACAGGTGTAAAAACAGCATTTCGTATATGAACATTGAAGAATGCCACTTCATGATGGAGGTATTAATGAAGTTATATGATTTCTGGTATCAAAACTCATGATGTTTAGTCTGAAGACGTGGATGGCCATTCAGTCTGAAACCGAAAATTTTGGATTTGCCTTACTGTCAGCTTCTTTCTGAAATTTGAGAAGAGTGGTTTACAGAGAAATAATGGGATTAATATTCCATGAATGTCATGAAATCAGTTATTAATTTTTCTTTGAAATTAGGAATTATGGTTGTAACAGGCTAATGTAATATTGATCTTTTGCAGTGGTAGTTCTAAAGCTCAGCCGCATGCAGAGCATTCTAAGCTACAGTGTGATTGGTGGATACAGTAATAATTAAAACATTTATAATATGAGATTCTTTAACCTTTTAACTACTACAGTCATCAGTAAGTGATTTACCTAGTCTGCCGCATATTCTGGCAATGGTCAATAGACATTTTACAGTTTTAAAGCAGTTGTCGAGCAACATTTTGTTGTCAATGAGCGATTATAAAACAACAATCATTTATTATTCATATTGATAAATACCAAATTGCCTCAAAAATAAGCTAGTTATAACATAATAAATAACTAATTATAAAATATCATAAATACCCCCCAAAAATCGTACATTTTTTAGTTTCGGATTTTGTTTAATAAATAATACAATGGCTGCATTCTATCTGTTTATGTTTTTACATCACCAGCAATATAGAAAATTAATTCTGTCATGGTGTTCAGTAGTTTATGTCCATCAACACCTCGCCCATCCTTCCACCCTATTTTGAGAATAAATCGGTCTGAATGGCGCATGGGTGCTTGTGCTCATTATTGTGGATGAGCCAGTTGAACTATAATAAGGTTGCTGCATTGAGATTTGTGTGCATTTTTATTCTTTTGAAATAAGCTCGGTTTTTTTATGTGCATTTTTTGCATAAGTGTGGCTGGGCTATATAAATCCCCAAATAATACATTTTCAAGATTTTATGTCAGTTCTAATAAGGCTGCTGCATCCAGATCATGTGTGCATTTTTGTTCTTCCGTTTTTATATAACTGTCATGGATCAACCTTCATCATCTGCAAACAAATGGGTGAGATTTGAAGATAGTAGTGGCGGCAATAGCAATAGTACTAGTACTTATGGAAGCTTATTTGCTGATTTTGAAAATGGCAAGGAAAAGATAAGAAATAGTGACATAGACGAAGATATAATCGAATGTAATATTGAATCCAGTGATACTATTGGCCAGGATAATGTTAGTTTTCATTGGAGAGAATGTGACGAATTTCAAAGGGAAGCATATAATTTTGACAGTGTAAGTGTGGGAGTGAGTGATAGGTCTGATGTGGTTGACGATGCTGAAGAATACGATTATATCATAAAATTTTTTGGTGTGGGCCTAGTACAAATAATTGCAAATGAAACCAGTAGATATTCTGCTTATTTTGTACAAGAGACCAGAATGATGCATCAAGGCCCGAAACAAAATGGTGGGTAAACACAATGATTGACGAAATTTATTCATTTTTAGCATTATGTTTTTTGATACCTCAAGTGAAGAAGAGTACCATGTTCCGAGTATTGGTCGGAAAATGCGATGATTCGAACAGATTTTTTTTTAGCAAATATATAACTTATGGCAGATACATACAAATTTGCAATTTTGCCATTTTTCAAATAACTACAGCCAACCCAAAAATGATAATCTGCGGAAAATTCGAGATCTGTTTGAAAATCTAAACACCAAATTTTCTACATATTTTTCACCATTTCAAAAAAATATGTTTTGATGAATCTCTTGTTCAGGGGCAGGTTATCATTCAGACAGTATATACCTTCAAAATTACATCGATTTGGACCAAAACTGTTTTTCCTGTGTGATCGTGAAACTGGAATTATTTTGAAAATTTTGGTTTACACTGGTTCCATCAGAGATATACTACACAATGAAACACTTGGTTCTCGGGCACTATAGTGAAAAAGCTCATAGAAAATTATCAAGGGGGGAAACCATCTTGTATATACTGATAATTGGTATACCAACCTGAAGTTGGCACCACTATTTGGTTGAAAATGTCATTGGTGTATGTGGCACCGTCAAGAAAAAGTATTTTTCACAATTTACAACACTTAGATGCTGTCAAATAAAGCTGAAGAAAACGGCAAAATTTTGGCTTAAAAGCGAAAAGATAAAAGGGATATGCATTTTATTTCCACATTTCACAAATTTAATTTTAACATTTTTTTTTTCCACTATCCACCTCATTCATTGGTAGATAGTGGAAAATGAGTCATAGATCATAAGAAAGGCTTATGAAACCAGCTTGTGTATTGGACTATACCACAAATATGAGACTTATAGACAAGACTGACATCTTTTGTAGAGAGTGTTCGTAAAAGTATGAAGTGGTATAAAAAGATTTTTTCACCTGTTAGACATTTCTATTTTGAATTTATATTATGTATTTCTGGTAAAAACAGGAAACAATGACTTGTCATTGAAAGAATTTATTATAAACATTATGCCAAACAAATTTTGTGAAAACATGAAACCCTTACTCCAGTTCGATCTGGTAGATGAAGCAGAGAATTGCTTTTACAATAAGCCACCAGTAATTTCATCAAAAGACATTTTTTGGACAATGTTCCACCCACTGCTGGGAGAAGAAATGACCAAAGAATGTGCCACATTTGGGTAGTCACACTACCAGAATCAAAAGAATATGCAAATGTGTGACAACTTTGTGTTCGGAATGTCAAGTGAGTTTATGTGTTGGACATTGTTTTAGTATATACCACAGTCAAAAAAGCTTTTGATAATAACCTTTTTTGTTGTTTATAGTTTATAACATTTTATTTAGTCGAGGATTATATGTTAGTGCTAGTTATATGCTAGTGGTTACGTTTGTATGTATGTCTATATGATTATAAGTTTAGGCAAATATCTATAAATTGTTGTTATATTGTTTAGGGATAAAATTTTACCCTTTTCTTTTTTTATGACGCTTTCAACCTCTCTGAAGCTAAATATAATATGAAAAAAGAAATTTTGCAAAATCTAAATTTTTGCATTTGGTGGTGTAGTCATGTATAATTTTACCTGTAGTTAAAGGATTAATCTCCCCTTGCATAATTTTCTTTCTTTCTGTGTTGATTTCATTAGCATATGTTGCAAATTTTCTGAAACACAATTTCTATCAGTTTTGGATAATTTTACATATTTGTATTATTTCTATTTTTTAATTTACTGCTGCAAAGAATTAAACTGTAATTAAAGGAAATTTAGTATTCAGTTTATTGTGTGTGTAATATATATATATATATATATTAATTATACTTGATGTTTGTTTATTTATTTTCAGATCCTGGTTTCTTAAATCAAGATTCTGTTACAGATGCTCAAAGCAATGCTCTAACCATATTCAGGAATAAAGGAAATCAGAATGCTTCTGGTGTCTTACAGATTTCTAATTTAAACTGCAATTTGTCTTTCCACCGTCTTCACGGGAAAAATGTAGTTCTAAAAAAGAATGGGTACTTATTGTGTTTTATGTATTGTGCTTTTTATGTATTTTTAATTATAATTGCAAAGCCTATATTTTGCTCTTATTGCAATAAAGCCTCATTATTGCATGTGTATATTATGCTGTCAATGTACATTGCTTTTTCATTAAAATCACTGTTTTGGGAAGGAAATCGTCAGAATTGTATTCATTTTGAAAGTGCATTATATAACAGAAGGATGAAATGATTTAAATTTCAGGTAGTTTTTGAAATACATAACATCCAGAAATCCATATCCCAACTTCTGGCTATCATGGCAACTGTTATATGGCTGGGTACAGAATTGAATAGACATTAGATGGCAGTAAAGATATTGTAATCTATGTGGCTTTAGTTCTGTGCCAACATTTATGTGTTGTACTAGTTGGTGGGTGTTGTCTTACCAGTCTCACTGCAACCATTGATTAGGTATTTTTTATTGGTGAGAGATGGACTGGTTAAAACAGTAGTTGAACATCCTTGCTACTCAGAAAATGTAGGATAGTTTAAGAAATGTGATCTCATGTTCTATAGAAATATATGGCTATAGAGGTTTTAAACTAATGGCATAGCCACCAACATTTAAACCCCAGTAATGTAATGATGGTTGATCAAAATACTGGGTATGTGTATGAGGTGAATGGGATTTGTACCTAATAGCACTTCAAACATGAATCCAAGTGTTGGGTGATGATGAAGAATGCAAAGATTTCAGCATTCATTTTCCTTGGTGTTTCTGTATGCAGATATATGATGTCATGATGCTATGAGTAAATGCAGGATTCATTTAAAAAAAAGATTACATTATGCCATTGAAGCATCTGCGAATCATTGAATATGTCATTATAGGTACTGATTTTTGTGATGTGTCTAGGGAAGCCAAAGCAATAGTAACTGTACTGACAGTTTATGATACTGCAAACTTGTTTAATATGGCTGTACAGTTCTAATTGCGATGTGGATGAGATGTCTGTTATCTCAAAAATTAATGAATGAGGTCTGTTTAGATCCTGCACTTCACTCTGTGTAGCCATCTCAAACCATGGCTTGCTGTCTCATAGCAGTCTTTCAGATTCACCAGTGTGAGCAACAGTTATTAGGTATGATATACTACAGTTTTAATATGCTGATTTTCTCCTGTGATTGAACTTCAATTACAAGTTCTTTCTTATGCAAGGTATAACATGATCTTAATAATAACAATGAGTAAATGTGATTTTCAAATGAAAAGTTATTTTTTGCCCAGCCCTTTTAAGCTGCTTTGAGGTATCATTACTCTTGCCTGTTTTGAATATGCCATGAAATGCTAATAGTTTGCATATCCCAGCGTGTTTTATGTTTCATGAAAATTTCAAGCTTGTATGCTTTCTTCATAGTAAAGTTATTTAAGTGACCAGCACTGCATTTGATATTGTTTAATATGAAAACACTATCTAAGGAATATTTTATAAAATTATTAGAATGTTATTTCTATGCCTTTTTTTGTTTATTCTATGAAAAACATGTAGTCTAATCAGTAAAATGTTCATAATGCTAAATGAGATAATTACAAATTATTCCATTCTTTTACATATAAAATTTTCAAAGCTATTCCACAGCAGATTTTATGGCTTAGACCACTTTTTGCTGCCTCTTAATAAGCAATTTTGAACAGATATTAAGCAACATTTTGGGAGGAGGATGTTTATTTGAATAATGGTTCAATCTTGGTTAAAACTAGGGTCAATCAATTTAGAAGTCAAACCACAAAAATCAGTGGTATATTCGCAAGTTTTCACAGGACTAGTTTCGATGGTTTTACAAAACTATCATCCTCAGCTGCCAAAGCTCAAATGAACAAGATAAGATGTAGTGATAAGATAAGATTAGAATGACTGGACAGGAGTTAAGCTACTGGTGCCATCTGTTGATGAAACGAGAACTAAAACATAATTTTCTTAAAGGCTGAAGTTGCCTTCAGATGGTGTGGAATTTTATTGATAGGAGATTAAACGACCTAAAAGTTAAATTTCTGTAAAATATTTTACATTCAAATACTCAAAATTTTACTGATAGGAGAATAAAATTTCAAGTACCCTATTCAAGGGCCCCATTCTGGATATGAAATCCTGGGCTATTTACAGGATTCCTTGCCAGTGTGGTTTAATTTACATTGGTCAAACTAAGCTGTAAAATTTCACGTTAAGGAACATGAGTTATATGTTAGAAAAAAGGAAACACAGAAGTCCTGTGTTGCCCAGCATTGTTGGTCCGAAAATCACACTTTCAATTTTTCTGCAGTCAAAATTATTCAAAAACGTCTTCCATTGGTGAATTAGATTTTCTAGAGGCATTTCACATTCAGAAAAATCTTTCTGTTCTAGTTAACGACTGTCATTCCAATCCATCTTTGCTTTCAGCCTTTAAGGAAATAATGTTTTAGTTCTTGTTTCAGTAATAGATAGCACCAGTAGCTTAACTCCTGTCCAACCATTCTTATCTTATCTAATCACTATATCTTATCTTGTTCATTTGCACTTTGGGAACTGAGGCTGATGGTTCGATAAAACCATTGAAACAGTCCTATGAAAATTAGCAAATATAACGCTGATTTTTGTTGTTTGACTTCTAAATTAATTCTTATTTGGCATGTTATTTTATATTCATACTACGGTCAATATTAAACTGTGGGGATAATGAAGTTCCATCAAGAGATCCACGATCTCATTTTGCTGATTATTATTGTATATCTAGATATTTTCTAGTATTGAGCTTGATATATAAAATGTATGCATATATGTATAAAATTAGCCTTTTTTCATTAAACTGCCTGATTTCTGACAGATACTGTTTGACTTTTATTATTTTATTTGTAAATAAAAGGTTTTTGATTTACATTTGGTATGAATATTTAGAGCAAGATTAAATGCAGAACTACTAAAAATAATTATATTTACCTATTCAAATTATCTATATCTGTGAAGGCAAGCTCTCACATTTTTTTTTTTTCACTCTGAATTCCATTTCGACAGTGACAATGGACATTCATTAAAAGGACTGCAAATACACCTGTTTTCAAGTTCTCTCTCTCTCTTTCCCTTTGAGCATTACCCTTGCACATGTGAATGAAGCCTTTACAAGACATGTCTGGTAACTCTTCTTCCATGCTGATTCAGCACCGCTGTTTCTTTAGCAAGTACTCGTGCTTCTTCCTATGATTATTTATTTTTCATATCTGTGAAAGTGTTTAACATTAGTCATCAAAATTTTCCTTGTTGCATATGCTGCTAGGATGAAGAAGCATTCCTAATTATAGTTTTTGAATCCAGTGAGAAATTCTCTACATCACAGTCATGGGATTGACATAGCAGAATATTTTGTTAAAAAAGTAGCTGGCATTTTTCATTTCTTCCAAATCCAGTAGTCTTCTGCAAGCATGATGTCAAAATTTAATTAGTGATTTTTGCGATGCTTTGAGATTTTACTTCATTCAAGGTACTGTTCTCCTTCGAAGAACTCATGATTGCTATTTTATGATTGGATTTGTGTCAAAAAATAATTAAAATATCTGCATCTAAATAATTCACTAACAAGTCTAATCCCATGACTCTCAAATTTTAAGCATTCTTAATATTCTCTTTGGCTTATTGCCAGGAGTAAATTTTACAACAATATCCATTAATAAGACTGAAAGCTTAGAAAATGCTACATATTTCTTCTTTCTTTCTCTGTATGTATGTATGGTAATGATTTAGAGAGGTATGATGAGAGAAGATCACAAGTTTCACTCGTGGCCAAAGTGGGGAAAGACGAGATACTTGTACAAGATACAGCTTAAAGCTGCTATGTAGTAGATGAAATGATGGAGTTGCAGACAGATGTGCCAAGTTCATCATATAATTTATTCGTAGACGTTCTTCAAACATATTTCCAATGACATTAATTTCTTAGGACATGTTTTTGATTGGTACACTACAGTGTATTCATGTAATTGATTAGGGGGTATCAAGTGTGAAGATCACAATTAACTTTCAGTATGGCCAAAGTGCACAAAGGCGAGATGGTTGTACAAGAGATACAGCCTGAAGCTACTCTGTAATAAATGAAATGATGGAATTGCAAACAGATGTGCCAAGTTCAATATATAGTTTATTTTTTGACACTCTTGAAACATCTTTACAATTATATCTTAATTTCTTATGAAATATCCTTGGTGGGTACTGCACAATGCATGCAAACTACGCCCCACAATTTATAAAAAACACATTTACATTTTTGAGCAATGGTGAAGAAATACAGCAAAGTGAGAGAGATGCCTTATTTGGGCAGCAGCAGGTGAGCATGTAAAGTGTATTAAACAGTTGGAGTTATTCATAACATTGGTTCCTTTATTTCATAACATTGGTTCCTTTATTTATGTTCTGTATAGCAAAACAAAAGTTTACAGCAGTGCAGAGAAATTTCAAGGCAGTGTGATGTAAATGATGCAGTATAGGTGTGCTGAGGAAGGTTAAATTAGGATTAAAAATTAGGAATTTAAATGTCTGTTGAAAAATTTTTGTTAGATATTTATATTTTACTTGTATATATATATATATTATCTGCTACAGTCAAAAGTCTTTAATCCGGACTCGTCGGGACTTCGGCGATTCCGGATTATCTATTTTACTGGATTATAGATCATCAGTTTAAATCTGGTAAGATGGCATGCAGAAATTATAAAATTAAAAATTTGAAACCGTAATTTATGAAATAAAGAGCAATTATGATTTAAAGTGTATCAAAATTTACAAAAAAAAAAAAAGCTTAATATTTATTTGTTTACTTTTTTAAACATTTCCTTCAACGTTCGCATGTGTAAAGCATACATTACACATAGTCGAAATTAGAAAATTGCAACCAGAAAACTATTTGATGTGTACTCATGATATTTATGATGACGAGGAATTTGATTTAAATCATATCAAAGATGGAATACATTGAGATGAAATACTGCATTTAATAAGGAATTA